GCGTGTAACATTACGTTAAAAATTATTAATTATTGAGTTTATACTAAATGCCACCCCTTGATGAGGTTGAATATTTTTGTATGGGTCGAATGTAAATCGAATGTGATTAATGCATTATTTTAGACTTTCAAATTAAGCCGGTTTAGGGCACATCCATTGGATGGTTTCAAAGTATATAACGGTCATAGTTAAAAACGTTTTTTTCTTTACATTATCTCATATTAAAAATACGCGAATTTACTACTAACTTAAGTTCACTAACTCACTATGGTGATTTAGTTACAGTTTACGTGACTAAACCCGAGGCTAGTCGTCGTGTGCTATACAGGCACGTTAGGCGGACGGCGCAGTACTGAAATATTACTGAAACAGTACAACAAAAGTAAGGCTGACAACGACTTTTTAATTCGTGTTTGTAGCGTAACATTAGTAGTCTTTCTAAACGCTTTCATCGCAGAGTTCATATCCGAGTTATCTATATATAATTATATAAAGTGAAGGTGAAGAGCTCGATGGCACAGTTAAGTTAACAGCACATAAAGTTAAGCAAACTTTCACAATGGTCGATCATTGGATGGGTGACTAAAAACTTATTATCACCAGAACCTCCGTGGTTTGGCAGGCAAGTTAAGCCGTTGGTCCCGGCTGCTCCGCACTGGGCCCATAGTGTGCCCATAGTGTAAAGTCGAACCGTACACATTTAAAAAAATAAGTATAAATATGTTACGCCCATTTCAATAATGGAATTTAAAAAAACTACGCCATAATTTAATATTCCAATTGTACGGGTGTACATACTAAGATGAATCGGCAGGTACTCAACAAGATCTGGCATGCTTCATTATATAATGCGGCAATTAAAAAAATCCTCTATACCACCCAACTCTGAAAACCTTTCCCATTATAGGAACCAAAATTATAATACACTACAAAAATAAAAATTTAAGGGTACTTCACCAATCAGGCGCTCTAACTTGCGCGAAAAATCCGATTCCTATCTCTCGTAAACGCTTAAATTTTCAACGGTAAAAAAGATTTTCTCTATAGTGTTGATTGTTCAGCTTGGAAAGTCGAAATATAATAACTAAATATCTTGGCCGGTCTGATACTAAGATAAACCGGCAGTCACTCGACAAGGTCTGGAAATGCTTCATCATATAATGTGGCAAAAAAAATCCCCTATACCACGTAATTCTGAAAACATTTCCCACTATAGGAACCAATTATAATACATTACAAAAATAACAATTTAAGGGTACTTCACCTGTCCTCTAACTTGCGCGGAAAATGCGGTCCCTATTTCTCATAAACGCTGAAATTTTCAAGGGTAAAAAAGATTTTCTCTATTGTATTAATTGTTCAGTTTGGAAAGTCGAAATATAATAACGAAATATCTTGGCCGGACTGGAGTCAGCCAGAGAGCGTTGGATTATTTATTTGTTAGATAAAAATTTGTTGCTAGAATTTTTAAATCTGCTCGCTAAAGTTAGCAAATGGCGCATAATTTTTTTGTGATTCGCTCCCAGATTCATGAAAATGTAATATCATATAATTAATAAAAAAACACTTCGTTCGTTTTTCTTCAATATATCTCCAGTAATGAGAAGGGCGAACCATTATTGAATTTGAATAGTTGAATTCGATCATGATACCCGTAAATTTCATGCTACTAATTTTTAATTCTTGTTACGTTCGTCGTGGCGCTGTTCAAGTTTCCATGCAAAATTTCTCGATGACGATTCGCACTTGCAAACGTAACGAATTCGATTTTAGTTCTGGCTAAGGGTACTAATCTAACTATTTGAGATATTTCTTTAATCTTGAGTAGGTCCATTATGAGAACTGTATTTGTTATTTTTTAATTTAACTCTAGCTTACAGCGTTTAACATTAAGCTGTTACAAGAATGATACGATTGTAAATAGGATTGTATTAGCGGTAGAAGTGTAGTTATGTCATCGGTGCGCATTAACTTGGATCTGTGAAACCAGTTTTCTAGGTACTTTACTATAATGCAGGTGAAGTACATGCCATTATATAAGAGGCACGAGGCTAGGAAATATGCGCGCGTTAGTAATACTTATCTGTTAATATGTATCAATAATCCTACTAAATATCGGTATCTAAAGAAACGATGACTGGAAACTATGTTTTTTACGCTCTTCTTGTACACATACCTTTATTATGTATACAAGCTGACCCGGCGGTGTACTTTGTACCACTTACAATAATTTGGAAGAAATGTTGGACCTGTGTCTACCGTACCGAAGGGACGAACGTCAAATGTTTGACAGAAAAATAGATAGAACTGTTTTTATTGGAAAATTAAATTGTTGCTTTTACTGTCTTCCTAGCAGTTTTTCAATATTTTCAAAACCAAAAACAGGTAAATCGGTCCAGCCGTTCCCGAGTTTTAGCGAAACAAACAAACAACAATTGATTCTTATACAAGGCGTCCCATGGGTTCATCACACGGAGGGAAAGTATATTAAATATTGATAGCATTGATTAAGAAAAGATATTTTACTATAACTAAGAAGACATCATTTTATTTTTAATAAAAAGTACAATAAAAAAGAAACGGTGCTAGGTTTGTGTAAGTATCGCTTTATTTATTTTTTCACGTACTTATAGTAAATGCTGTATTATTAAGTGAGCAGGTACTAGTTAGTAAATACTTTGAAATGATAACATTAGCTGTTATCATTTCAAAGCATACAAATTCTTAATTTTATGATCTTCCTTTCATTTAAAATGTTATGTTATTTAGGAAAAAATAATCCTTATGTTTAACCAATCAATCAATTTATTTGTTCAAATATGAGTACATAATTTGGTGTTACATAATTATAATGTCCATTCATATTTTACCCTATATGGGTGTGAAACAAATTAGGTAGGTACTGTAATCTACAAAATCCAAAATTGTCACATATCAGTAATTGTACTTAACCCTTGCGGAGTGTGGATGTCTCCTTCAGTAAAATATCCTATCTTCAATATTTAATATACTTTTCCTCCGTGTGACGTCTAATCTATATATATAGATTATTATATAATTTTAGTTTAAACATTTAACTGCTAGTTGTATAAATCTACTGAAAATATTACTAGAAAAAAAAATCGACAGTCCCGTACCCCTAGCTCGAAGCAATATCGAGTTCGAATAGTTTGCAAGTGCGTAATGTCAATGTCAAAATTGTATTGATTTTTATTTCTCGTTACGTCCTTTGTGGCGCCGCTGCTGTTCAAGATTCCATACAAAATTTGACAATGATATTTGGGACTCGTAAACTACTCCAATTCGATATTGGTTCGTGCTAAGGTTTCAGACGGTAGTCGAACTCGCATCTTCGCCGCCCGGATAGCGGAAGAGGAGGGTTCTAGTCTTATTATCGTTTTTTTTTATCTCTTCATAAAATAATATATTCACTTGTACTTTTACCGGCATCTGTATAAAGTTCAATGAATCATGTTCTAACAAGCTTCGCAATAGAATTTTCATTGTTGTAGGGCTAGCTTGGCGTACATTTCAGCTTAGTACATTCGGTGTTAGAGAGATGGCGCTTATTGAAAACAATTCCTTAAAGAATAATTACAAAATACAAACTCAGAAAAAACAAGTTACAACCAGTAGTAAGTAGTTTAAAAAAAAGTGTATAAAATGTTACTGCTTAGTCTTTATCATGTCCCAGTATTACTAAATATACAGCATTGAAGTAGAAAATAGAAAAAAAAAAGATTTATTTCTGTGTTAAGTACCTATATATTCTCACACACAGCTCATTAAATAAATACTGTTTCAACGGGTTGCAGATGCGTTTTTTAATACCTTTATACATTTTTCTATGTTTTTGATCCTGAATGGGTTCCTTTCATAAGAGTATGAATAAAAGAAAGAGTTTAATGCCTAAAATATGAAGATGTTTTTGTAAGTTACTTGATACTGCTAGAATGTAATAGGTACATAATAATAAAATTATTTGCAAATAACTAAGCACGAATACCCCTAGCTCGAACCAATATCGAATTCGTATCGTTTGCGAGTCCGAAATGTCATTGTCAAATGTGTACTGATTTTTAGTTCTCGTTACGTACTTTGTGCCGCTGCTGTTCAAGTTTCTATACAAATTTTGACATTTCGGTTTGCAAACTATTCGAATTCGATAATGGTTCGTGCTAGGGGTACAGAACGTAAACTAAATTAACTTGACTCCTGGAACTAATAAACACTTTTGCACCGTATTCAAAGACAAACTTTAACAACCAGTGGCTTCATTATACGAATGTCAAACTATGCTAATACCTTTGGAGTTGGGCAACCCTTAATTATTTGGTTGGGATGGACAGTGATGGTGTAGAGCAAACAATGTCTTTGCCTCTAACTAAATCTTAATCTGCCACGACTTAATTAGGGTTCCGTACCTCAATCGGCAGTAAACGGAACCCTTTAGGATCATTCGGCTGCCTGTCTGTCACAGTCGATTTGCTCGGAATTTACAGGAACGATCAAGTTGTAATTTGTTACATACATGTGTGTCTGTGACCCAAACACGGAAGAATATAGTAGATAAATAAATTCCGAATTTGGGAGGTTACATTTGGGGGGGTAATTTGGAAAATTTAAAAATAAAATATCGGTAATTGTTATATTATATCAAAAGAAAGGGCTCAATGCGAAGGAGTCAACCATATTTTTTTTTAAATTGAAAAATGTAAAGATTTTAAATTATTTAAGAAATATTTTGAAAATTTATCTGTCCTGCCCGATTATAGCCGAAACTACAGCGTCCAAAATTTAAAAAAATATCGTATAATGCTCTTCGCTTGTAGATTATAGGAAAACCTATAAAAAGTTTATAGTATAATACACTTAACTAGGTTTTTTAACTAAACCATGAGAGATAAAGGTTCGGGTATAAAAATATCTCAAGTAGTCTTTGTGTTATTTAGAATGTTCTTAGGTATTGTCCCACCCAGGTACCATATTCACCATAATTATCATGTACTTGCGATTAAAACTACTTAAAAGTAAATAACATAATATATTTATTTCATTCGCATTAGATTAGATGATATTAGGTTTTAAAATAACTTCATAAAGCTTTTTTCTTATTCGTATTACATTTTTTACATCTGTGAAAATTCCAAGGCGTCAACAATTAACTCGATGAAAACATATTTATCATTACGTTGTAGCTTTGATTATTTATACCCTTAGATACCGTATTTATTGCTCCGAAGCGGCCCAAAAAATATATTATCTACTACTTATGGTAGATACGTTCGTCGCTATACTACATATTGACTGCTTTCAAAGTCAATCTGACATTAGAGTCACGTATCTTAAGCTGTTTTCTTTGCGTGCTATATGTTATAGAAAAAACCAGTTTTTAGAATGAACGCGTTTTCCCTAGTTAGAACTAGTTTTTATTAAATGCCTTTGTTAACACTAGAATTGACTAATGCTCAAAATGTAATATCAGTTAAAACTAGTTCATACTAGATAACACGCGTTTTTTCGAAGCGAGTCAGTTAAAACTTTTCTCAATAACCACACCACCTGAATATTCAGCAAATAAGAATTATTATAATAATGCCAATTTCTAACAAAATCAATATGAAACATTCATAAAAAAAAAACAATTTGGGATCAGGCTGTGAGTGAGCTGTAACATGTGTTTATAATCAAAGCGTCGCTGTAGATGCAGGAACGCATTTTATTTTTGAATTGGTACTTATTATAATTCGTCATGTGATTTTTCTATCCTCTGTGCTACTCCATCGACCGCCATTTCAGCATATTTCTTCAAAGTTGTATCCCAAAATTTTTCCCTTTTGCCTAAAGGATTCATTTCCATGCGAAAGTTTTTGGTGATGTGAAGGTATTTGAGATCATCGCTTGCCTTATCTATCGGTTGCCAGACTAGACTTTTCAAGACATCATCACTTTTAGTAGGCGTTGGATTCCTGAAATGTATAATTTAATATCAAAAAGTGAAAATACAGCAATTGGCATTTTTTTGTAGGTCCCTAATGTAATTTACAACTTACAACAATATATACCAAAATAATGTACTTGGAGAACCGTATTTTATTTTACAGGTATTATTTTAAGGTCGACTGCACCAATCTTTTTAATTCAGCTTTTATTCTCAGGGCTTAATCCTGTTTCTTTTCTAAACAACCTCATATTTGACAGTAGTCAAAAATATTTAAGCTTCAGCTACTTATTTTGGGGTTGTACATTTTTATACACGGCATAGCCTTCAAGTGGGGTCCAGCCGTGAAGAAAGCTGACGTGAGACTGTGTCAATCTGGTAATCCAATTTATTTCTTTTATGATATGAAGCTGAAAAACCGCTGGCTAATTGTTCCTTAAATTATTTATAAATGGACAATAGTTCGTAACAAGTGGGTGCCCGCGACTTCGTCTGCTTTAAAAATTGGACTAGTCCCTTGTCACCTGTTTAAAGATTGATTTTCCGATGTCCTTTCCCGTTACTCAAATTATTTCTATACATAATATTAAGTATGAAAGTATAGATGAATGTGAGATAATTAGCTATACGTCTTACCCAGTCTTAGCAAAGTTCGTCCATAAACGCACCATCTTCTTTAAGACTTTAATTTCATTCTGCGTGGACACCAGCCCTTTTAGATAATCGTAGTTTTTCCTAATTCGGTTACACACGTGTAAGTAGCAGAGTTCATCCATAACAGTCGCTCCCCAATTTTCAATACCCCATCTTACATTAGTCGCCATGAATAGCATGTTCTCATTAATAGTTCCGTAAAAATCAAACATGTAATAATATGTAGGTGATTTCAAATCGGCAGCTAGTTTTTTTGCAGCATAATTTATAGCATAATTTTGTACTGTATCTCCTACGTATGTAGCATAATCCAAGAGGTTGTTGTAATGTAGACGTCCTTCTTTGAAATAAAACTTTTGTATATCTTCCTTGTAATCATTGAAAGCGGTATTATTGACATCAAATCTGTAGTTAGATCTAATTGGGAAATGTACGAAGAAATCTTTGATTTGCTTTAGTAAATTAGGGTCAAAGAGAAGGTATGAAGTATGGTCTAAGCCTTCTCTTGAATTGAATCCGATCAAAACTGGAACGTCGTTAACAATATTACCGTCTTCTGGCATCACTGTCAAAATTGCATTTGGATTTTCAGGTTCAATTGTTGGTGCGAAAGGAAAGACACTTCGTTGATATATTTCATACTCATCTATATTCGATATAAGATCACTTGCATTACTGTAAAGAGTAAGTGCGTCAATTTTTTGTAATTCTTCAAGCAATGCGCTGGTTTCATTTGTGTCTACACCAACGAGCTTTGCTAATTTAAAGGCAAACTGTTTTGGATTTTTTGGAAAATATATTGCTTCGTAGGTTGTGCCACTTTGAATAGTGACTGCATTAAATAAATCTGTAGCTTGTTTAGAATAAAGCATAATATTAGCAACAGTAGCACCTCCTTTGCTGCCCATTAATGTAACTCGATCAGGATTTCCTCCAAAGCTTTTTATGTTCTCTTTTACCCATTGGAGACCCAACAAATAGTCTCTGAGGCCATTATTCGCGGGTATGACATCATCTTCTGTAGTCAGAAATCCGAAAATACTTAGGCGATAACTAATAGTGACTACTATAACATCTTCTTCTGCAAAAAATTCTGGAGAATATTTCCTTGTACCATTGTAACTTGTTCGAAAATTATCATGATGGTCGAATACCACAACCGCAGCAGATCCTTGCAGGCTTGGTGTGAAGACGCTGATGTATAGGCAGTCTTCTGAACCCGATATGCCGTAGGTGTCACCGTTACGCATCTTTGTATTTTGCTGGACACAAGTGGGTTTGTTTTTGTAAGCTTGATATGCTCCATCCCATCCTTTGTGAGGGTTGGGTGCCTGTTGGGGATAGGAAACACAATTAGTCACCTATTCAAATTTAACGCAAATTCAAAATGACAAGGAGAACTTATGTGGAGCATCTAAACGTTCATATCAATAGAACACACTCATACTAATTGTAGTAATTAGTAATAGAACATACTCGTGCTAATTGTAGTACGAGTATGTTCTATGTATTTTGCTAATGATATTCTAATTATAACATAATATCATTTTGCATGTTTAGAAGTGTAGCGTGAAGCGCACTATATTATTTTAACTTGAAGAGAGCCCACCCGTCAGTGGGAGTGCAATATTTTGGTGAGAGTAAATGCAAATACCTATAAGAAATTGGAATATAGAGAATCGAATGGTGTAGATGGTAAAGGTGCTTATAAGACATCAAAGGCAAAGCAAATGTGCCGCTTGGAGTATTAAGTATATAAGCAGCATTTGACGTTATGAGTAAAGGTGTTCTCTGCTGAGAATAGTGATAGATCGATGTATCGACTGCAACAATTTTCGAATATATTCGTTGATAATAAAAAGTTATTTAGTTTAGTGCATTTGACGTTGGTCCATTGGATTTACTCACAGTCCAATGGTGAAATCAATAATAGATATACCTAGTCTTTATTTACTTAACCTTTAAAACAGAAGCATTTGTATCATCATCATCATCAGCCTATTAATGTCCCCACTGCTGGGGCACAGGCCTTCCGTATGGATGGAATAGGGAGATTGGGCCATGACCCACCACGCGGGCCCAGTGCGGATTGGCGGGTGCTAACGACTGTAGATGCAGCCGGGACCAACGGCTTAACGTGCTTGTATACTAAATAAAAATAATGAAATGTTAAATGTTTTACCTTGAATCTCAATTCTCCAACAGGGGCTTCAGCGTAAGGTATTCCTTTGAATGTGTAATAGCTTTTCTCTTTCAAGTAAGTTTTCTCTCTTTTTCCGTACAATAAACCTTGTTTTATTTCCACTTCCACTTTACTATCGCAAAAGCATTCTTTTAATAAGACTAGCAGTAAATAAATATGCAAGTTGTACTTTTGAGACAAAATCATTTTTTATTAAAGTTATTTTTATACGCTTACTGCATTAATTCCACAAACTTTTACTACTTACAGTAACATGGTTTTATAACAAATATAAATTTCAAGATAACAGTTGAGGTACACGTAATCGTTTAGTAGATTACGGGGACTATTAGTCTCAATTGATAAATTGCGAAGTCCAGTTATATTTCCTTTCGTATCTGATTTGTCAGTTGACGAAAAATGCGCTGTTTACTTATTAATCTTATTTAAATCCATATCAAGTGATTGGCCGCTGCTACTTGGCAGTGTAGTTGCTATAATATGAATTATTTGCTTTCAATGAAGTGTAAATTGATTAATGTAATACCCTGGTTAGTATTGTCATAATTCATTTGAGATAACATTAAAAAGAAGTAAAAAAAGTAAAAAAAATCTTTAAATAGAACAACAAACAAGTAAGATATTTATAACTAAAATCCTTAAAAAAATATATAATAACTAAAATACATTATTAAAAGGAGTCCCTTTTAAATGTAATATTAAATTAAAGCAAAGAAATATAGAGCATATTTAATGATATATGTATCTATGTAAATTAAACAAAAAAGATATGAAAGATCCGTTATGATTATCACTGCCAACCCCGCTGACAACATTTGAATTAATTTTTATATTTTCTTTATTCAACTGGTATTGTTCGTATGTTCCCTCCCGTAAACCATTTTACGACCATTTCTTGTTATCCGATTTAGCTGAAATTCATTATTGATGTCTTTGCTGATTTAGCATAATTTTGTAAGCCTGGTGACAAGACAATAATATGGCAACATGTAGCTGATCTGATGGTGGAGCTGGAAGGTGGCCATAGGAACTCTATAATGAAATTTAAATGGCACTTGAGTGATATGTAGAAAACACAGCGTAACTAGTCTAAGTTTATTCTTCGTTTATTAAGAAGAGGGTTAGTGCGGTAACCTACAATGCGAAGAAACGGCGCTGCCTTGCAGCCTAAGAAAGGCTAGAAAGAATTCGACACGGCCGTCAGGGCCGCGGTAGCATAATGGTCAGTGCATTCGCCCGGACAACGAAGGGTGCGGGTTCTACTCCCGTCTGCTGCCTGGTCCACGTGGAATTATCATTTTAGAAACACTGTAGAAAATCCACTAAATACTACATTTAAAATATCATTTGCTTTTTTACCAGAATCTTGATCACTCTGTATTTTTCATTTTTGTAAGGTATTTAATTAAAGACGTGATTAGACGAGTAAGCTCATGATTGCCTCTTTAACTCTTTCTCTAAAGTGCTTTGTTAGGTTTAATAAAAATAACTGTAACATATATCACAATTCTTTTTATTTATTCTAAATTCATGACTATGTTAGCATAGTAATAAGTTAATAGTATTATACACTCATAATAATTAAATGTCACAGCATAAATTCACTATTTAGAGACAGAGACAAAACGACTTGTATACTCAGTATAGCGCCACAGCCATCCTCACTTTGCCGGCCTGAACCCAATCACATATTTTCTTTTTTTATAGCGAGGTAGGCAAATGACTCTACCCCACCTGACTTTGAGTGGTGATAAAGTCCAAACGCGAAGATAGCTGGTACAGCAGTTATAAACTGCTACACCAACCATCCTCACCTTGCCGGCCTGCAAAAATGCTTCTTCACGCCTCTCTTAAAGGACCCCAGATTATAGGAAGGAGGGAATACGTGCGCGGGTAAAGAATTCCACTTACGAATAGCACGACAAAGAAATGAGTCACCAAATTCCTTTGTTCGGGTGGGAATAGTGGCCACAGTAAGTCGGTGGCAACGTAGGCCAGCGCGCGTGGTCCTCTGAAGAAAAGGTGATGGAGGGATAAGCGAGAATAGCTCCTCAGAACACTCGCCGTGGTATAGTCGGTAGAATGCGCTTAATGATGCCACATCACGGCGTAATTGTAGAGACTCGAGTTTCTTAGTTATTGGAGTTCTCTTATCTTACACACCAAAGAAACACAATACCACCAAAAGGTAGTTTATCATTCTGTAGCCTTTTGTACGTTGAGGTTAGCGGACGACGAGAAATAATTCTCTTTAAGGTAAGATCCTCCAAAGTACAGACTCCGACCAAGTAATAGTATTCTGTGATCTCTATTGACTAGTACCGATTAAATGTCAATGGTAACAGTAATGTTGTTTTGTCGTTAGACCGGCCAATCACAGTCCCCTTGCTCATGTGCCGCAGTTTTCTATTCTTGTCTTTTGTAAGCGATTGTGTGATAAAGAGCTCCATGCTCCACTAACTCGGTTTCTATGAACAGAATGCAGGGAGAGACTTGAGGTTAGGGTGAGTATTGCACCCGGGATACACAAGAAATGCAAGGTTCATAGTTATCATGTGTGTTTAACATCTATACAATTTGAATACTATAATTTTTAAGAACGTAATACTTTGACAAAGTCATGTAATAGTAAAAGTATCTCGCTACGTAAGCTCATAAATGTTAGAATTACATATCGGTGCTATTTGCATTGTTACCCTTGATTAACAGAGAATATTTCAAACTACTAAAGTCAATTTCACGATTTCACAAGAAATGGTGGGCGATGAGAAGTGCTGTTATAATTCATCTTTCTCATCCTTGATAATTCCATCCTTGGCCAATTTAGCATATTTCGCCAGGAACTGATCCCAGAAGGTGATTATGTTCTCGTGCAACCTTGTCTTTAGTTCTGGCTCATCGTTGATGACAAGACATTCCTTATTCTCCTTAGTTGCCGGTTTCCACTGGAGCTCATCGCCAGGCGGCGTTGGATTTCTGGAACAACCATCAAAGTTATCAATTACTTATAGTTTATTTCACTGTAAAGCTTTATTTTATTTAGTTTTGCATTTACAAGGCACTAAAGGCTAACTTCAGCTTACTCCGTGTTCTGTTTCGCAAAATGTGTGTTTTATTCTTTATTAAATAAAATGAGTTTTTCTTGTGTAAATTTTTAGGTAATTTGCCAGTTCCCTGTGAAGCCTTGTAACCTTACTCACCGATATCGACAAGAACACAACACTGATAAAAAGGGTGATAGTTACATTTTATTTAAATCTTACCCAGTCTTTGCAAAGTTCGTCCACATCCTAATCATGTTGTTCATAACTTTCATTTCTTCTGAATCGGGGTCTTTCATTGCTTTTAAGTATGAATTTTTAAGTGCCTTACACATGAACAGATAGCAGAGCTCATCACCAGTTGCGGCACCCCAAGTACCATCTATCGTAACTGCATTTTTCATATTCATCTGTTTCTTCAAGTTAAAGTCACCACTGAAGTCAAATGTGTAATAGTAGACCGACGACTTACTTTCGTTTACATATTTTCTCACTGCATAGTCTACAGGATAAAATATCAATAAATCATGCAAATAGTTTATGTATTCTCCTGGTTTGCTCACTTTTAAATAGCCTTCCTCGAAATAGTGGTCTTTTAATTCCTGCAAAGCATTTAAATACAACTTTGAGTCCACATCGAAGTAATGGTCCACTCTGTATGGAAAGAGAAAAATGATATCTCTATCTGCATATGTTAGGAATGTTGGCCGTTCTAGAAAGCGTTGACAGGGTTCAATGCCTTCCCGGGAGTTATATCCAATCATTACTGGTATATCAATATCAATAGCTGTCTTCTCAGGATATTCTTTGATTATAGCATCAGGATGATCATGTTCTACGACTGGTCCAAAAGGATTGATACCTTTCTGATATATTCGAGCTTCATCTGCATGCACTGAAGGTCCTTCGCCATCACATATTTTTTTAGCGTCGAGGTAATGTAATCTTTTGAGTAAATACGAACTGGTTGTCGCGTGTTCATTCAGTTCTATCGATAAAGCGATTGCTCTCTCCCGTTTCTTAGGGTTTAAATGTTTACTATTCCAAGAAGTTTCGCTCTGTAGTATGGCAGCATTAAACAAACCCTTTGATTTGGGGGAATGCAATAATAAATCTACAATTACAGCCCCTTCGCTGCTGCCCATCAATGTGATTTTATGCGGGTCACCACCAAAATTGTGAATATTTGTATGGATCCATTTAAGTGCAAGAAGAACATCTCTCAACCCATTGTTACCAGGCAGTAAATCATCTCCAAAGGACAAGAACCCTAGAGCGCCGAGTCTATGCTGCACCGTCACCATAATGACACCTTCTCTCATGAAAAAATCTGGTCCGTATTCCTTAGAAGCATTGTAAGCAATTCTGAAATTTTCATTATATAAATAAACTATGACGGGAAGATTTAGCTTATTGTCATCAGGCAGCTTCGGTGTATGTATACTGAGGAACAAACAGTCTTCACTGCCTGCAAAACCATATTTCTTGATAGGTCTACCTGGTAAATTAAAATGGGCGCACGGCTTTTTTTCCTTTTTGTTCGCCAAAATACCATCCCAACCAGGATGTGGTTTAGGTGCCTGAAATTTAGAATTAGAGTTATCAGGAATTATGTTTAACCACTCTAACCCTATCATCATACTTCCGATGAGGTATATTATAAACGAGCGACCCGCCCAGCATCGCAATCAGGTCGCAATATACTATTGAGAAATTGAGATATGTTAAGATTTGAATATAAAACATTACGTCGATTGCAGTGTTTCTTCGATAAATGTAGCTAACAAGTACTTATACTATTTTACCTTTTCAAATTTTGATTTAAAGGAAATGTACGATCTTTCTATTTTACTATGGGCATTTTTATCTACATAATAGAACAAAATCCTACTTAACATCCGTTTTTCTACTATACTCAGAAATAAAAATAACTATTAACTTTGACTTAGGTTTATGCTGTCAATTTATTTGCGATAACAATAAAATAATACAAGTGACCTAATGAATCATTAAATCTCTTTGGCATATCCGAGTGCATCCGTATGACTTATTAGGAAACTCAAACGATCGGTTTGAAGAACTAAAATTATTTTGATATTTAGTAACCAAATCATTCTTTAGAATATAAGATGTAATAGTGAATAATATATTATATCTTAAATAAATACCACCAATCACATCGGGATTTTATTGTTATTGTCATTGGATAAGATTTATGTCACTGTAATGTAATCAAACTCACCATGAATCTGTTTGAACCTATCGGTGGTTCTGCATAAGGTATACTATAAAATGAATAAAAATTTTCATTTTCTATAATAGAAGCTACTTCTACTCCGGCCACCTTGCCAGAATCTGTTTCCACAACAAAGTCTCCCTGGACTAAAGTTAATATGTAAAGAACAATACCACATATTTTTAAAGCGTCCATTGCGATAGTGACTCTAGGTTAAAACAACTATTAACACGACATTGTTTGAATCAATACTGACGTGTACCTTCGGTAATCATCGCTAATCAATGTGGGTTTCATACACCTTTATCATCGTGTGATAATGGATTTATTAAAGTTATAAATTTAACACTTTAGGTATCTTTTGTCACTGCTACTGAGTACAAAAATGCGTCTTTCAAATATTTTAAATTATTTTTGTTTTAATTTTTTTTAATTCGTAATTTTTATATATGCTCGAAAAGCGAATACAAAAACAAAAAAAAAAAAATAATATATTTCAAAAAAAAGTTAAGAATTCCGGCGATCCTGCTTGCTAATATATTACGTAGTTATTTTATTCATGTGTAAATCAAATTATTATATTACATTTAATCTATTCAATATATACAATTATATCTTTTTGCATATCATAATTCGTCTTTGTTATTTACTATATTAGTGTTGTTTAATAGCTTTTGCTCCCATTTTTTTAAGAAATCATCCCAAAATCCAAATCTTTCTTTAAGTAATTCCGATTTTACTTCTATTCGCTTTCCTATGCTAAGATATTTCTTAGATTCTCCTTGGTATTCAGGCCACTCTAAGCCGTCCAATGTAACATCATTGGCTGGTGTCGGGTTTCTGTGAAACAAACAATGACAAATGAATTAATACTCCCATAATAATTCAACTTGAAAAGCAAATTAAAATGTCAACTTCATTCACTTACCCGTATTTGGCAAAGTTGGCCCACATCTTGACTAATTTTCTTTGTGTAATTATTACATCAGACATAGTTTCATTATGTTTTAAATATTGTTTTTTTAAATCGGGACAGTAGAATAAATAACAGAGTTCGTCTCCCCCGCTTGCCCCGTAAATACCTTCGTCAACTTTAGACAATTTCAAGAGATTATATTTATTTTCATTCAAATCGCTATTATAGTCAAAGTAATAATAAAAGAGAGAACTGGACGTTCTGTGTGCATACGATTTTACTGCACGATCCACATTATATCCTACGAATGTATCCCCTGCATATGTTATATACTCGCTGATACTATTTACAGTAACCTTTCCTTTTTTGAAATAAAATCTCTTTATTTCATCTATAGCCTCATAAAAACTTTCATTTAGTGGATCGAACTTAAAGCTCACTCGGATTGGAATTATAAAAGGAAAGTCTTTTTGGAGAGAACCAAGGTAACGCGGTTCGACGATGTATTCCAAACTCAGGCGTAATCCCTCTAGAGAGTTGAATCCAATCATAATGGGGATGTTTATACTTTCGTAACTATCTTCAGGATATCCGGTTATAAGCCCGCCCGGTTGCTTCTCCACAATGGGACTGAAAGATAACGAACTTCTTTGATTTTCTTTGGTGTAATCTTGTTTATTCGCATGGAGTTCTTTAATCAATAAATCAGATACTGGTATTCCGTTTAAGTCTTTAAGTAACATAGAATTACTGAATGATTTTCTATCTACTAATTCACCTAATTTGAAAGCACGTTCTCGAACGCCCTCTTGTAAATACGCCGAACTCCAGGAAGTTTCACTTTGTAAAATAGCGGAGTGAAATAAATTCTTAGATGTGGAATGCATCAGTAGGTCAGAAGCTACAGCGCCACCTTGGCATCCCATTAAGGTAATTTTTTCTGGATCTCCCCCGAATCTATTAATATTTATCTTTATCCATTCTAACGCCATAACAATGTCTTTTAGACCAGCGTTGCCGGGGACAACATCGTTCTCCAATGATAAAAAACCGAAGACGGATAATCTGTGGCTCAAAGTAACGATGACTACGTTTTCTTCCATGAAAAAGTCTGGAGAATAATCTTTTGTTTTGTTGTAAGAGCCTGTGAAATGCTCGTTGTAAAGGAAAACAATGACAGCGCGCTTTTCCTCATCCACTTTTGGGGTAAATATGTCAAGGTAGAGGCAATCTTCCGAGCCATAATGTCCGGGAGGTTGACCTTTCAGTATATTATAGTTGAATTGAAGACACGCCTTTTTTTCTTTTGTAGCAACAAGAATGTCATTCCACGGCTCAATGGGCTGAGGTGGCTAGAAATTTTGAAAAAATAAATCTATAAAAGAAAATCTTTAGCCAGTCGTCTATATTTAAATTTGATCAAAGTATAAGCTGATTAAACTATATAATATTTATTTTTACATATGACAAAAAGTGGTCTATAAATTATATTTGATTGGTGACCTTGACTTGACTTTATTTAATAATTTATGATAATAAAAAAAAAATCTTACCAGAAATCTTAAATCATTGACAGGAGGTTTTGCAAAAGGGATTCCCATGAATCCATAGTAATTCACTTCTTTCAGAAAAGTCTTTAAAACTTTTCCTTGCACTTTACCATGTGAGGTTTCTACAACTGGCTTCGTTGAGAAAATTAATCTAACAAATATAAGAAATATAATTATTCCTACTTTAATAAACATGGTTCTTTGAAATATTCCATGTGCTTATTTTAAATTAAATATTACTACCAACACACTTAGCGAGTAGTAGATAAAGACTGATCCGGGAAGTGCTATTGATATGGGTATCAAAACTAATCTAGCAATAAATATGACAATACAGTTTTGACATACACACATTAAAGACACTGCTTTAAGCCTTATCCTCTAAAATCTCACATTGCAAATCAACATATTATTAAAAATGGTGGCAGTTTGACAACACACTTGCGCATCAATTTTAATTTAATAAAAATAGTGCGACCTATTTAAAGGCACTGAGGATCTGTGGCTGGCGTTCGTCGGGTCCACCTCTTGCCCGGAGTGTGTTGTCGGTGTCGTGCGGTGTGTTTTGGTCCCCTTATTTTGAAACAATCAGCTGATCAGCACTGCTCTACTTGACAACCACGACGCCATAGGGTCGCCCTGGAGACCATAAGCGTTGTACCGGGTCGCCTAGTTACCACATAGCTCCCGAAGACATAAATCTACGGAGTCCTCCTGCGCGCGCAGCCGTCAAGATGCGCGATGTCAGTCTGCTCTGCTCACCTACTGCTGCTGCCAAAACTGACAATCGCCAATTCTATTGTATTTATTATAGTGCTGTTTTTTTTTACAAATTCTGTTAATTTAAATAGTTAATAAGTGAATTAGTGATAAGTTGTATGCAAAGCCAAGACGCAGGAACTACTACTGCCAACGTATCACTAGAGAACCATATCCAGTGCAGGCTCCGCGCGTAGCCCCGGTTTTTCAAAGGTGAGAGAGGCTTACGTATCCATATTGCTAAATGCCATAAAACTCTAAATATACATAGCTCAGGACCAGCCTCTTTACCTGTTCCCCATCCGTGTCCGCAACAAAATTTACACATATCCGAACCATTTTAGCTCCAAATCGCCCATCTAAAACAACATGTCCCAGTGCTAAAACGTATCCTAAGGGGTGCAAGAGGACCGTCGCCCAACACCTGATTAACTCATTGGAGATACTGTACGCCTCAACTCAAACCACTCCTGGGAGCGTTTACTAACCTTTCCCTTTCGTTTCCTTCATATCGAAAAAGGCACGGACCGCGATTGGTCGCTCACGACACTTATTAAACGCAACTGCAGTACCAACCTAAATCCGTCCTCATTCCAATCCCCAGTTTCCTACTCCCCAACATCAATTCGTAACCCATTAAAATATATAGAAAATAAGATAAGTGATGGCGACATCAAGGTTGCTGCGCGTTTATTATTTTCTAACGATGCGGTGGCACCGGACTCTCCAGAGACTCTCTCTGCCCTGCAAGCCAAACACCCGTCCCGAAGCCTCCAGCCTCCGACGCGACTTTCCCCACTGCACCTGGTCTCGCGGACCAACCGCTTCAAACGTCCAAAGATGCCGTCCGCTTTGCACTTTCTTCCTTTCTTCCAGGATCAGCGGGCGGTCTTGATGGCTTATCCCCACAGTACCTTAAGGACCTTATCAGTGGATGCTGTGGTGAACCGGCGACTCTCTGCTTGAGGCCATAAGCTCACTATGCAATTTGATGCTGAGCGGGAAAATTGCCACCGATGTCGTCGACCTACTATACGGAGCCAATTTATGCGCCCTTAAAAAAATAGACGGCGACATCTGCCCCATCGCAGTAGGTTCGACATATCGACGTCTCGTAGCTAAAGCTACAGCGGATACGCTCGGGGCTTATTTCCAGCCTACACAACTCGGGTTTGGCTCTAAAGGCGGCTGCGAGGCTGCCGTACATTCGCTTTGCAGAGTCCAAGGGTGGCGAGGTAATCTTAAATGTCGACGTCAAAAACGCTTTCAATGCCGTTGATAAGGGCACAAATCAGAGTGAGCTCCAGCTCTATATAACTTTATGTGGCAGTGCTACAGCAAACCTTCAAAAATTTTATATAAAGACCACCTCCTGTCCTCCTCAGTCGGAAGCCAGCAGGGTGACCCTCTCGGCCCAGCCATTTTTAGTCTGGCTATACACCCAAACATCGACCTTCTAAATTAAATATGTGGTATCTTGATGATGGCACCCTAGGAGTCGACGTGACCACTGTCCTCTCTGATTTTCTTATGCTTACTAACGAGTTCATCAAAATAGGCCTGGAACTAAATTTTGTAAAATGAGAGATTTTTGTTCCAGAAAGTCTCGACAACAAGGAGACAATCATTTCTGAATTCCAACTAATAGCTCCTAGCATAAGACTGTTAGATAAGAAATCACTTTGCCTCCTAGGGTCCCCGATTTTTGATGAATCACTCCTAGATTTTGTAGATCAAAATTAAAAAAAATATAAGAAGAAGAAGAAGTTTTTGAACCTTTACTCAAAATTAACTGCCAAATGGCCTATGTCATAATTCGGTACTGCCTTTTCGTCCCTAAATTTACGTATGTCTTGCGATGCCAATCCAAAGCCATCCAAAGTGGACACACTTTGGAAATTTCCCTCTCTCTTAACAAAGTTGGACGGTGTCATAAGACATACTCTCTCCTCTGTCCTAAATATAAAATTTGACCGCCGTTCCTGGACCCAAGCATCACTCCCAGTTAGGTTCGGTGGTTTGGGTGTACGCAACACTTCGGACGTCTCCCTCCCGGTCTTCATTTCTTCCATACACTCTATCGAACCACACGTCGCGAAAATACTTGAGCGTTCTTTGAGTGTGTCCTTGTTCTCGCTTCTAGATGAAGCCGTAGCAGCCAGGAGTGCAGCCTACCCTGACACCGACGTCCCGACGGACCCTGCCTCCCAGCGACTTTGGGACGTACCACTCTGCAGGCTGAAACGCAATGCGCTTGTTGAATCAGCTAGCAGTCCCGCAGACCGTGCGCGTCTCTTAGCCGTTAGCGAGTGGAGGTCTGGTCTATGGCTGCAGGTACAGCCTTCCGCGAATATCGGTACGCTCCTGGACCGCTCAATTTTTCGCATTGCCACGTCCTTGGGCCTTGGTTCGCCCTGTGTCGTCCCCCATCTTTGCCGATTCGGAGCGTTTGTCACCAACCTCGGCCATCACGGTCTCTCCTGCACAAGGAGTGCCGGCCGTATAACCCGCCACCACTGCATCAACGATGTTATCCGCAGGGCCCTCGCCTCCGCCAGCGTGCCAGCCGTTTTAGAACCAAGCAGCCTGGCGCGCGACGACGGTAAGAGGCCCGACGGCATGATACTCGTTCCTTGGAAACTGGGACAGGCGCTTGTGTGGAACGCAACCTGCGTCGACACTCTGGCCCCGTCTCATATTCCCGGAACCTCGATGCAGGCTGTCGCGGCTGCTTCGACTGCAGAGCCCTTAAGCACCGCAAGTATGATTGCCTCAGTGGAGACCTCACATTTGCGGTGTTTGGAGTCGAGACTCAGGGACCCTGGGGCTCCGGTGCCCACCATCTTTTCAAAGATATCGCGAAAAGAGTTGGTGGAGACCACTGGAGACCGCAGAGCTGGCGGTTATTTCGCCCAGCGCATAAGCCTCGCCATTCAGCGGGGCAATGCCGCCAGCGTCCTGGGAACCTTTGCCGACGGGGATGACTTTTTCGTCTAGTTTTAGTGTAGTTTTAGTTTGATATCTAAATGTAAATTGATTTTTTTTATTATGAATCCCACATATTATTATACAAACATAAAAATATATATTCAGACTACTGAAAATAAAAAAAAAAAATGAAACTAAAAAGCAAAAATATAAGGGATGAAAAGACAAAATAGTAAATTACAAGCTTGCAAATGGTTCCTTAACAGGGCTCATAGTATAGATTGATAAAAAATATATTACTCCCCCACTCTGGAACAGGTGCGAAAGATAATCCTACAGTTCGGCTACTTACGACGACCTCCTTGGCCGAGTGGTTTGCACGCTGGGTTTCATGGTATCGCCGATTCGAGAGATCCCGGGTTCGAATCCCTGTGGGGGCAGATGTTTGTGTGATGAATACGAGCATTTGTACTCCTGTCATACAAGTTTAATATGTATTTCTATATAAATATACTTATTATGTACAGTATATGTATTCCATCCGTTACCCTAGCATCCAATAACACAAGCCTTACAGTGCTTACATTGGGGCTAGGCTGATTGGTGTGAGTGTTGGAACTATATATATTTATTTATACTACTTAACTCCCGTGAGATAATAAAATAATATCAGCGTACCCACAGCGCAACCTTTGTTAATTGTTGGACTACAGTATCCGGATAAGGTCACCAGCCAGCCATCAATTGATTGTCAAAGTTTATTGTTAACAGCATTAAAATGTTTGTTCCAGTTCCACAATGTATATAAGGGCTTCAATCTGAAAAAAATCTCTAATCTTAAAACTAAATTTGATATCAGTTTCTCCTTCTATGCATGATAGGTTTATACACACACTAATGTCAAAATAATAATGATATTTTTTTATAGTTATGATTTTATTTATTTTTTAAGCATTTAACTGCTAGATGTTTAAATCTAAAGAAAAGTTTACTAGAAAAAAATCCACGCGAACCAGGCAGCGGACGGGACTCGAACCCGCATTCTTCGCTATCCGGGCGAATATTTTTTTATGTCAAAAAGCTGGCAAATACGTATATGTGCTCCGCCTGATCGTAAACGGCCACCGTAGCCTATAGGTACTTGCAATATCTACCAAAATTATCATTCGCACATACCCTGACTCAATTCCCTACCCCGTGGAGCGCTGGAACCTTATTCACCTGCAGAAACACAATACCACCAAAGGGTACTGTTTTTTTAACTGTCATCTTCTGTAAGGTGGAGGTTGAGTAAGTCTCAGACGGGCGCTCCAATTCGAGCGGGAAATCCGCTATGCTCAGACAGATCATCTTAATTAAATTTTAAGTTTATATTATCATTCCAGAGACCATTCTCTGTGTAAGTTTAGTGAGCACTGTTTGGTACGATTTAATCACATTAGTATTTCGGAATAAACAAGGCAATTATTTGCTTAAACCCTTCAAATTCCGAATTAGTTTTACCTGTGTTTGAAGTTTATAGTTTGGAAGGTGCGGCCGCAATACTCTATTTCGGTACAGACTTCACAGGAATCTGAAATAGGTTAAAGTTTTCAGGAGCCTTAACTTTTACTAGCAGCAATAAAGGTAAAGAATGTTATTGCTACTAAATTACCGACTTCCTAGTTCCTTTAATTGTATACGAATGAAAAAAACAAAACAATAAAAAGAGGTAATTTAATTGACGTAGAGCATAACGGATTTTCCGCTCGAATTGGAACGCCCATTTCCAATTGGGGAAGTAACCTCCACCTTACAATAGATCACAGTAAAATACCACTATCTTTTGGTGGTGTTGTATTTCTGTCAGTGAGTTAGGTTCCAGGAATACACGGGGTAGGGAACAGTACGAGTGATATATTTGGTATCGCAAGCGTCTATAGGCTATGGTGGCGCTTATCCAACAGGCGGGTCATAATCTTTATTGCCACCGTTTTAACATAAAAAAACTGAAGTTCTATTGTCTCCCAAGTTGTATTGTATTTCTCATGCTGGACTGGCAGCGAAAAAAGACAGAAGCGCCCCCTTGTAACTTTTCCGGGTTAATAGTAAAACTGTATTGACGGGAAGGGCATAGGCACTCGGAAATTATTGTTGTATTGTATTGGGCTTACAACCTGTCACTATTTTTCCAGCCAATATCTTACTAATCCCAAATATGGTGTCGTAGAGGTTGGCTTAACTTTAAGGCATTGCCTATAAAAGGGGCGTATTGCATGTATTTAAATACATGCGCCATTAATTTGCTACTGAATAAAATTAAATGACGCAACATTTATAAACCAAATTGATAACGCAACTTTTCTAAATGACAATTCAATAATAATATCAGGTCATCACTCATATTACAGACATTAATAAAAATCCAGCAGATTAAAAACTAAAATTTGATAAAGAATTGATACATCTCTAATAAAAATAAAATGTAGGTTAACGTTTCAGGTTCAAAAGAAAACATATCATATGAAAAGTCATAAAGGACTTAATGGATTATTATTTCTTGATTTTTGAGATGTAGTTACATCCATGTTATTAAAAATATTTTCACGGTTTTCATCATAGTTTACACTGACGTGTAGGTATCGATTTGAAGTTACGATGCAAGCAAAAGAGATTTATTAGTCAAGGGAATGCAGTCGGTTAGACATTTAAATGTGGTTGCAATTGTAGTGAAATCAAAATTTTAAAGATGATACACATAATCCTCATCATTGTTTGTTACATTGCGAATATCAGTGCTATTGAAGAAAGTGCATTTGTAGAAGTAAATGGCAGTATATTTATAGGGAAACGATTATATAGTGGTTTGGAAAATAAGCCTTTTAATGCATTTTGGAAAATACCTTACGCTAAAAAGCCTATACGTGATATAAGATTTAAGGTAAGCCCCTGAGTTAGTTTTGGAAATATTCAGGAATGTGTGAATCATGTATGTGGGTTAATCATGATCATTAGCTTAATCATCGGTCAATTAATGCCCCCAACACGGGGGCACGGGAGTTCCCTTTGGATAGAATGGAGAATTAATCCACTTCTCGGGCCCAATGTGGATAAGTGTGGGTTCTAATGACTGCAGATGTATGTCCATCCATCGGCGTAACGTAGCTTCCGATTCCAAAGCACGGAAGAGCTCAAGATTGTGTGTGTCAACTTGGTAGTAGTTGACCAGAGAGCTATAGGCTACACCACAATCGGTATTAGGTTGTTTAATCTTTTAGCTAAGTGCACTTTGTTGAAAACCTGAAACTTACGCATTTTATGTCAAATAATTTTTGTCATGATGATTTTGTCTAGAAATGATACTTCTGTCGAAGCAATAATCTTTATACACTAGCGGACCCGACAGACGTTGTCCTGTCTACACGTCTTTAATTTGAAAATTTCAAACTTTTTTTAATAAGCCTAAATATTCTGGTAGCGCCGTCTGTCGGATCCAATGTAAAACATTCCAAAATCAACAACTACTAATAAATTAAAAATTAATTAAAAAAAACATTGTCCAGCGGACAAAGTTGTGAATCTAAACCATTCTCAGATCCCCTTGAACACACACAAAAAATTTCATCAAAATCGGTCCAGTCGTTTAAGAGAAGTTCAGTGACATACACACTCACAGAAGAATTATATATATAAAGATTTGATCATTGGCATATATCAAATAAATACTATTTGTATACTTTACAAACGGAATTTGAAAATAAGTAAAAATTTGGTTTAAGCTCATGATTAATAATAGAAAAAACATCGAAAAAACAGGGAAGCAAAATCTAAATTTAGTCAAATTAACGCTTGGACTCGGTGCCATGCCAACACAAGTAGTTAACGAGAATTCAGATTTATCAGACATGGATGGCACCGAGTCCAAATTTTAATTTGACTAAGGTTAAAAGAAGTTTCATTTTTTGCTTTTCGGTTTTTTGGGGGTTAAATTTCAATTGTTAACTAGATTTTTAATTTTTGTAAAATACAAATCTAAATCAAAAACCACCTCTATTTTCCTACCCTTAGAGTAAGATTTTTGTTTCCAAATTTATCAGGGACCAACTTCGATTCAATAAAAAGGGAATCATCAAAATTGGACAACTCTGTGAAAAGTTATGCGTGGTCATACATTACAATCAGTGAGTAAATAAGAATCATCCCCTGTTTTCCTACCCTCAGGGTTAGATTTTTTCCAAATTTATATGAGACCAATTTTGGTGTATACCAATTTTTGTCAATTACTGTACTACTACAGTACAGTACAGTCATGTTCTTTAAATTGGGTCCACCTAAGGTTGAATATCGGATAACAAACAGACAACGTAAGAGCAGATTTTTTGACCGAATACGTTGCTATAACAGCATTGATTAAATTATGTCAGTAGAGAGAACTGCTCAGTTTGCGCGCCAATCTTAGGGACCCGAGAAATGTACGGAAATTCCAAAAAAATAACTTACTCTTTTATTTGCTTACTGTTCTTTCTGATAATGTTAATTGGTATCATTTATAAAAATAATTTATTAAATTAAAGGAATAAAGTTAAAATTCAATTATTGCTATTACACCCTTCCCCCTTTTTTTGTTCTAATATACTTATTTAATTTTCCGTCATGGGTTGCCTGGAAGAGATTGCTATTAAGCAATAAGGCCGCCCATGTGTATATTCTCTCTGTCAGTGTAATCTTACTGTTATGTCCTTTGTGGTGTTATACAATAAAGAATATATTATTATTATTATACTCTCATTTATTTATTTATTTTATTATTATTATTAAATTGTTAATATTTTGACAAGGATTCATAAAAGATATATAGGACTATAATATATCTTTTATGAATCCTTGTCAAAATATTAACAATTTAATAATAATAATAAAATAAATAAATAAATCCGACTGGACAGTCGGAATAGCCATAATTTGGACCGACTTCTATTCTAAGACACCAGCGCTTTTTTCCAATTTTTTCCTAGGTAGTATAGACCCCCACGAATATGCCCTCCATTTGTCCCCGCTAGAACCCGTGTTTTGTAGCCAGGAAAATTGTTTAAACAAAGAAAAACCGGTTTTTTTGAGTTTTTTTGCTTGTAAACGGGGATTTTGAAATTTTTTTTGAATCAAAGTTGTTCATTAGCTTGCCCTCTACAAAATCAGTTCTATGAAAAAATAACGTGAGATTGTTAGTTTAGCAGTAAATTGCAATTATGTCGGTTTTACGTTTGCAACAATTCAACATGTTATAATAAACATTTTGATTTCTAAAGTAGTTTATCATGTGGGTAACGCCACTCCCAAGAGAGTCATGTAAAATTTATCGACCTGTGTCGCAAACTTTAGCAACAATTCTCAATCTCCGAAAAAAAAAAGTACTTGCCTGTCCCGTCTTTCACAGAAGGCGCACAGCGGGAAAAAAAATTCAGGTGATTCGATTCACCAAGAATTTTGAGGAATCGATCGAGTAGAAAAAAATCGTTAGTAAAAATGTTCGTTTTTGGACGATTTTTTTTTTTTAAATTGACGTAGAATATTTTTTTTTAAAACTAATGTATTTTTCTCTCCTCAACTCGAATATACGATTGAAAATTTAAAAAATTAAAAACGGAATCAGATGCTTAAAAAGGAGGTTATTATAAGGAATTGTCAATAAATTCGAAAATATTTTGACGACTTATTCATCTCTTGTTTTCGACCTTATTGGAATGCGAATGTTCAAATCTATGTGTTTGGTTCAAGCCACATTGCAATCACGAAATAAAGCATCTGACTGTACATCTAAATTGAAGTTAATTATTCCAGCCACCGGAGTTGAAAGATTGGCGTAATGGGACACTTGACTACAGTAATTTTCCAAAAGATACCTGCAGATGCTATAACGAAGACAACCTTTACCTGTCCATTTACATGCCAGTTTTTTATGACCCAACATGGAATGCCCCTGTACTTGTCTGGCTGGAAGGAACTTCAAAATCATTGGGACCAGATTTTTTTATAGAAGAGGATATAGTTGTCGTTACTGTATCATATAGAAAAAGCATTTTCGGTTTTTTAAATACAGACGATGAGTTTGCCGAAGGTAATATGGGAGCCAAGGACATATTAATGGCTTTGAAATGGGTCAAATCATATATTGGTTCTTTTCATGGAGATCCAAACAGAGTAACAGTAATAGGCGCAAGAAAGGCAGCTACGATAGTTGCATCACTGCCCCTCACTCCAGCGGCAGAAGGTTTGTTTAATAGAGTGATTATTATGAGCGGCAGTGCTCTTTCACCTGCTGATTACAGGAATTACAACTTTGAAGTGATGAACAAACTATATTGGAATTTGAACGGTCCTTTCGACAAACTGAATCGTAGCAAACTTTATGAAATGCTCCGAAACTATACTACTAGTGAATTAGATTTAGCTTCTCAGGATATCTTCGACAGTACTGATGTCAGAGATAACCAGAGGTTGATAAACTCTTTCAGTCTGAGCGTTGAAAAATCTAAGGGAGCGTTCATGAGAAAAACTCCTTATCACGTTTACAAATCACGATTCACAAATAACAAAGTCGAAGTTCTTATAGGTTATACGAGTTTGGAATCTCTTTACAAATTGCATGGATTCGCTGATAATAAAAAGCTTTTGACGTATTTGAATTACAATTTCCAATATTTATTACCTTTCGAGGGAACAAAAGATGAATACGGTTCGAAACGATACAGAAAGATTCAGAAGAAGATAATGGATTTTTATTTTGTCAACGGGACTATCGGAGTGAGGAGTTTAAGAAGATATGCGAAATATGTTTCGGATCAAGTGATTTATCCTTTAATGCGACAGGCGCGCCTCCATGCGGAAGTATCATGCGGTCACGTTTATTTGTACAGGTTCTCATACAAGGGATTGTTCAATATAGGCTGGAAATCGTCAGTTCCTCATTTGGATTGGGCCGGAGCGACATCAGGAGACGAAATTTGCTACCTATTCAAATGTAAATCAGTAAATAACGAATACAATAGTGCTGATATGCCAAGTGAAAGGCACTTCATTAAGAAATTAGTGCGTCTATTTGCAAATTTCGTTAAGAGCGGGTAAGGCAATGTATGACATAAATTAAGATGAAAATTAAATTAATTCTTAATTAAGTTATATAAAGATAGGTAGGTACAGAAGATAAAGGAACCAACATGAAAACGCATGGAAATAAGTTCCACTAACTGACCTGCCGCAATTCCATGTTTCTTTACCGGAACATTTTTATTCCTCAAAATTTCGCATTAATAACATACCTCGAAGCCATGAAAAATACATCCACTTGGTCCATTTGAGACAGGATTCTAACCCACATCTTCCGCTATTCGGGCGGACTTCTCACCAATTATGCTATGGAGACCTTATAGACCGTGTCGAATTTCTTCTAGTACTTTTATTTTATGCTGCAAGGCAGCGAGCGCCATCTCTTCGCGGCGGAAGATGAGGGTTCGAATCCCGTCTGAAACCTGGACTGAGTGGATTTATTTCTAATAAAATTTTCTTTTGATTTAAACATTACCATATATACATTTTTTTTAATTTATTTAGTTTAAAGTTCTGAAATTCAGACAATACTTTATAAAGTAGGAAAGCTTTAATGTTGTTTATTTCACTTATAAAATTTTATCAGAAAATCTTGTTTTTCAGCAATCCTACTCCGAAGACCACAGATGGCATTTTAGGGAATCTCAAATGGGAACCTTTGAGACCCGGAAAGTCTATACGGGCCATGAATTTGAGTAGCAAGCTTAGGATGGTTGCCGCCCCTGAAGAAAAAAGGGTAAAGTTTTGGGATCAGTTAAAAAGCGAATTCTTCACCGAGCAACTCAACAGGGAATGTTAAGTGAAATTGTTTTTAGATAATGTACTTTGGTACTCTTTGTTCAAGTTCGAGGCTTAATAAGGTCGACTCTGTTAGTAAGCAAGATCTATGTTTAAATAGAATCCATAGGCCTTACAAATATTATATAATAATCGGACCAGTATAAGTTAAATGGAATATTCTCTAAGCGTGTGTTTTATCTGTTGTAATTAAAATATTTGAATGCAATTGATGTAGATTTCCTTACAAATCTTCTAAATATATATAAAAAAGGAACTGATTGACTGACAATTCTTAACATAAATAAACTAAATAAGTATGAGTTTAAGACCAAGGTAAAAGAGTGGATACTAACGCGTACTTACAGTGAAACAGAAGATATACTACTTTAAAATATAGATGAAATTATTACAACACACACAATGTCTCACATATACACACATATAAACACATACACACTCACACTCACACTCACACACACATTAATCAATAACGTTTTTTAATCATCCGGTGTCTCGAATCAAACCACTGCCTTTCATAATAAAGGTCTTACCTAGCATGAAAGTCAGAGGTCCTACTTACAAGATTATAAGATAGCAAACCATTCCTAGTTTATTTTATGATATGTTATTGTTGTAGTACTTGTAAGGTTTAATGATTAAACATTATTATTATTAATAAACGCACAGCTCAAACCGGTGGTTCTAGAGACTCTAAATTTGACACGTAGGTTCCTTATGAGGTCTTAGGATGCACTAAGAAGGGATTTTCAAAAATTCACCCCGGAAGGGTTTGAAATAGGGAATGAAAGTTTGTATGAAAAATCTTATTCCCTGGGTTAATAAAGACTTGAATCTTGGCATGATTACTTATCTAAATAAATTATATAGTTTGTCATTTTTAGTTTTTCTAAACTACGCTCTAAAATTTTCAAATTTTTCAATTTTTATGTAAAAGACATTAATGACTACATAAACAAATCCACTCTTTTCATGTAATCCCCACTGGGAAAGAGGGGTCTGATGCTGTGTTCGTCAAAAAAAAGCCACCATTTACTTTAATACCCTGGGCCAATAATAATAATATACGCCACTGATGATAATAATATGTGGAAAAGGATGTGAAACGTAGAGTAATGTCAAAAAGTATTAAAAAACACATTATAAACCAATTAAACAGTAGTTTTATTTAATAATATCCTAACTATTATTATAATTGGGAAAGTGAGTTTGTTTGTTACGCTTTCACGTCTCTTTCTTTTCACTAGACGGATTTGGATAAAATTTAGTACGCATATAATATATGACTTGGATTGAGACATGATAGGTACTTTTTATGCCGAAAAAATGTTAGGTTACTGAGGGATTTTGTGATGAGCAGATTATCAGCATAAACAACGCACGTGACTACGTTTTATAGCAAACGAAATAAATTCACACGAATATGCGTCGGTGTTGGTCTTTAGAGGAAATGTTTCATTATTTCCGTTCACCAGAGCAGGAAGACAACCCCGTTATACAGTTTTACGCTTAGGTTTTGCGGTTACGTCCACAGAAATGTTACGTCTGTTATATATTTTAATATTTTGTAGCTTTTGTTTTGCAGCGGCAGTGAAAATCAGTTATTCTATGCCTTATTTGAAAGATAAATCATAAGTCATGATTCTACTAACGTTGTGTAGATATGTATATTTATATATATTATACTAGCTGTGCCCTGCGGTTATAACCCATAACAAATACGAGGGACAAATGGGGATTAGTAGATGCTAATGTCTACAGAAGCCCATAAACTTTGATAGCCCCGTAATTGTATTTATTACATCGTCAAAGTTTCTATGAAAATCAAGCAGCGCCCCTACCGGACGTAACAACAAACTGGCTCCTTCTATTCGAAATTTGACGATGACGATACGATTACAGATTACCTCTTAGGTATTGCAATTCCTGAAAATATAAAAGACAGACACAAAAAAAAAAACAGAATTGCATTTCATGAATCGGTTTTATATTTTGTATTTTTTCACATTACAGAGAGATATTGATTTGAAACGTCGTATGATGTCGCGTCTTCGTATAATTTTTACTTACAAGTGACGTTACGAGCCCCTTACTCCCAAACCTTGACGCGCTTCATTTTCATTATTTAGTTGATTGAAGATTTTTTGATAATCTACGTACTAAATAGAATTTCATTTGCTTTACCCCGTTATCACCCCCATTGTAATCTAGGTCGTGTAGAGTGCGTTGTAATCCTGTCATTATAGTAATTTATGTTATTTACGGGATTGTTAGTTTTAACTTGTGTTCATAAAGTTCAACGTTTAAGTTTTGCCCGATCATATTTAAATTTCGATGGGTTTCACACAATTTTTACGGATGAAAAGAGTTTCCATTCATCCCAACATGTAGTACACTTGTGGAGAATAATTTTAACGAGGTATTCGGAGGACTATATTGTGCCAAATTTCAGTTCTGGACGTATATTTGCCAACATTTGGAGTTGGATGTCTGCTGTTGGAGTAGGCGCGCTGCAAGTTTCGTAACTGTTCTGGAGGACAGCATGGTTCCAAGCGTTCATACTGTATTTCCGACTAATGAACTAACCGAGTTCAATTATGTCCAAGACAACGCCCGTATCCACACTGCACGTATCGTGAACGAGTGGTTCCATCGGCATCCTGAGGTGGTAGTGATTCCTTGACCTGCAAAATCAACGGATATAAACAACGAGAGGAACAAAGCAGCTGTTGTTGAACATTGCCGAAGTGTTTGGGAGGACTTTAGAGAAACCGACATATGCTCTTGTTTTGTTGGTTCAATGCGAGAGCGAGTACAAGCTGTGACTGATGCGAATGGCGAATATACTCGGTTTTAGTTAAGTTTCGTTTATTTAAATAATTTTTACACTAGTTGCAAATTATGTTTACCATTTCATTTACTTTTACCAACTATATCATCCACGAGACGGCACTATTGAACACGAACTCAAGCCGCATACTCGTAAACAAGATGACACAGTTGTTATGGTTATCTCTTTCATAAGAAACATAGCAATTGTCCTAATCTCCGATTTTACACGAGCATCCATGAAGCATAGTCCTTCGTAAATGCTATGTAGTCTAAAAAGTTGGTAACCTTTAATTGTGACTGTCATCTCGACTGGTGGCGAGTGACAGTCGACCACCGACTGCAATATGTTTTACTCAATTGGAAAAGCAGAGTATCGTTCACTCTTCACTTCTCTCTGAGAGCACTGTCTTTTGGTCCTCAGCGTAACTTTTTACAGAGGGCAGGGTTCAGATTATCATGTACCAAAATGTAAAGTGGTTCCAATAAATTATTAAATTATAAGTATTATTCTGGGCAAACGAAAATAGATCTTAAGGTGACGAACCTTTTCTTACCCCGACTGTACTATAGATATTAGAAAGAATAGAAAAAAAAGTCAGATGAACCCATAGTCCTATTTTAATACGTATCACCAGAACACAGCACTATTCAAATTGAAACTTAAAAAGAAACTATCGGAAAAAGCTACCAAAAGCGTTTCAATTTACAAAGTCCATTTCATACGGTTTTTAAAGCGTGTCTGGTTTTCCATTATTTATTTTGTAAGCTTACATACATAGGATGATAGGAATGTCGGTGGCACGTAAATCCGTTCACATATTTTTGACGTGTTCGTTTTCTCCCTAATTGCTTTTTGTTGAGTGCAGGGATGCAAAATACTATATCAAACGATTAAAAATGATAATCAACCTGAAAAAAATACTTAATTTTACACTTTACTTGCTGCATTATCTCCAAGTGACTATTAAACCAACGAGAGTTCTCACAATTGCTGACCAATATTACGGCATATAAGCTCAGTGCACAAGCTTGAAGGTATTTGCCACAGCTGTGTTCTATAGTTTGTGCGTCGACGTCGTTTTGCTCTTTCATTGCGCGTCGACTCTCAACAACACAGAACAATAAAGGTTAAAGCTTATTAGAGTCACCCGGCATCGCTTCGTTGCGCACGTCCAGTCGTGGTCGACGACGACGAAACTACGGAGGACGCGGCGTTGCCAACCAGCTAACGTCGGACAGGCCACGGGTGGACACCTCGATGTCAACCAATGAACGTCAGGTGGTTGTCGGGTGAATAGGGATGATGACTATTTTTTTTCCTTCGTTTATCAGGTAGATTATCAGAAGTATTGGACACGTATTTTTTCTTTTTTCACATAATATAATCATTGCAGAGATATATTGATTTGAAAAGTCGCATGACGTCATGTTTGAGTACACTTATAAGTGAAAATTCACTCAAAAGTGACGTCACGAGCCCCTACTCCCAAACTTTGACATTTTGACATTTTTTGGTTGATTGCCCAAAGAAAGATACGTGTCCATTATTTTTTGATCATCTAACTGACGGACTAAATAGAATTCCGTTTACTGTACCCCGTCATCACCTCTAAGCGAAAATTAAGTAGTGTGTTGGAGATGATTATTTAGGTTTACACGATTGTTTTTACAATGTTTAATTTTACAAACCATGAATTGGCTCTATAACTGTCACGCCTTGATTAAGAAGAAAATGAAATCCGTAAACAGCTCGTAGGCAGCGCGTTTACTACCATCGGATCGCACCGAAGCGGGTAGTCATCGAGTTGTCCAACCACGCGCCTGCGCGCGGACGACTTGCAAGCGAGGCGATCCAGTGATGGTACGGATTTTATATAGTGAGCGTATACCAGAAATTCAAACAAAGAATATCAGCGGCACGAGTTGGGGTGATGCTGGTCGGGTGCCGGGTGGGTCTAATGAGCTGCGACCTTAAAAATGGCTTTTTTCCATCTGTCCCACTTGTCCCATTGACCCAGTCCCATGACGGGACAGGTGGAATAATTATATTGGGACAGGATCAGTGGGACTCGTGGGGCAGACTATTTTTTTAAATATTTTTAGCGCCTACGAGTATGTATTTTTCCACCTGAATTGCTCATCGTACTACCTTAGATCTGGTTCCATCAC